AGAGATAAGTCCCTTGTCAGATATGTTATTACCAAATATTTTTTCCCAATCTGTAGGTTCTCTTTTGACTCTTTTGGAGAAGTCTTTGGAAGCACATACTAAAAACAAAAACTTTTTAGGTAACCAAAAGCAAAGATTATTATTTTCAGTTTTTGAATGGATAAACAAAGTTGTCACCATTTAGCATAACTTTAGATCTATGTCAAAACTAATTCTAGTTTTATGTTTTCTCTATGTAGGTGGAACTTACATTCGTTAGTTTTTGTTCCTTGAACTTCTTTTAAACATTATTACAGTTAATATTCTATTTTTTAATATTTAGCATTATTAAAAGGCGCTCTATTTTTCACGATACCTGGATCAGCTAAGTATAATTATTTTGGGTCTCTTAAAAATTAGCCTAAATTAATTAATATTACATAATTATTGTTGACGAGGGTCTTTGTAGCTTGTCTACCTATTCCACCATCTTACTGGTACGGTTGTGTTGTTGTTGTTGTTGTTACGTGCTGTCAAGTCAGACCCGACTCATAGCGACCCCCTCCTTGGGTTTCCGAGGCAGTATCACTACGGAAGTCGATTCCCCCGTCTTCCTTCCGAGGAGTGGCTGGTGGGTTTGAACTGCCAGCCTTCTGGTTTGCAGTCAAATACCTTAGGCACTATGTTACCAGAGCTCCTGCACTGGTACGGCAGTCCTCCATAATTTTTAGAGTTGGAATTGGGATGCTGAGCCATCAAGAATCTTTGTATGAACAGATGTCATTAATGAAACTTGTTCAAGTGAATAATATTTCGATCTTGCTTCACTTTTGTTTCAGTAACCTCTTTCCTTTACCTTAATGCCCTATAACTGTTGTGAACTCTTTGTAATCTACATTTATATTTCATTTAGTTCTTACTGCAGAAATATGGTCCCGCTTTCCTTTAATTTTTTAAGTGTATTTTTTTCTAATGGTTTTAGATTTTTTTTTTTAACATCAGGATTTTTCTTTTAAATCATAATCCCCACATACAAAGTGAATAGATAAAAATAGAATTGTACTTTTGATTCTTTTTTGTTCGTGAGGCAGTTCCTGAAACCCTTCCAAGGCCTAGGATACAGCTTGAAAACCAGGTGATAACGTATTAGTATTTATTTTACTCTTGTTTTTCCAATTGTTATAAAACCCTAGGAGGAAGAATTAAGTTTTCTATGATACTTTTTATATTCTTCACAAAGCCCAATATAGAATCTGGTGCAAAATTAGTTGTTTGTGTCTATTTCATAGGAGTTTCTGCATGGTGTAAATAACTAAGTGTTCAACAACTAGTCAAAAGGTTCAAACCTACCACAGGTGCCTCAGAAAATAGGCCTGGTTATTTGCTTCTGAGATGTCACAGCCTTGAAAATCCGTGGAGTTTCCATGAGTCAGAATATACTCAACAGCTAGTAATACTTATTTCATAATTACATAAATTAACTTTTTTTTAGCCTATTAGAGTAGTTTCGTTAATGACCTCATTAATGGAGACTTGTTTTATTTTTATGTAGATAAGGAGTTTGCTAAACAAAATTTCACTGGAGGCATTTGAACAATAGGATAAACTGTTTAAGTATCCAATTAAAAACAAATAGTTGGCATGCTAATTGTAAAGCTTTGTATACATTCTCTTATATTGTATTGCTGCTTTAGAAGAAAGATGCATTTTCCTAAATTATGTATTAAATGTCATTGCACACATTGCACACCCTATAATCCCTATAATGAGATCACCAGCCTAACCACTTCCATCAAGCAGTTTGTGACAACATAGTCCTAGTATAAAGTTTTGAATTCCTCTTGTCAAGCTAGATTTCATGAAATTTGGCTTATACTTGTTGAACATTAAAGTCTTAAAAAGTTGGGAAGAATAGATTTTTTTAAATGTACTGGATGACTGAAAGAGTTAATAAATAACTTGATTTCAGTGGTGTCATTTTTGATGTCAGCTTGTAGTTTTTCTTTTCTTTTTTTCTTTAATTGTGATTTAGGTGAAAGTTTACAGAGCAAATTCACTTTTCCTACAGCAGTTCACGTACACTTTGTCTCATGACATTGATCACAATTCACCACAGTGCAACAGCTCCCTTCCCACTTCCTCCTGTTAGTGACTTCTTCCCTATGTCCATCCCTCCATGCACTCCGGCCCCCTGAGCTGTCTCTCTGTGCATAAACAGCCCTGCTTTCTCCCATGATTGTTCCTTCCAAGGAGTGTATCTACCTGAGGTAAATGTTCAACTCATATGCCTTTCTTTTGTTTAGCTGGAAGCCACAGGTATGGGTTCAATTCCAGACCTGAAGGGCAGCTAGAGGCCATAGTCTCCCTGAAGGGCAGCTAGAGGCCATAGTCTCAATGGTTCCACCAGTCTCTATCAGACCTGCAAACCTGGTCCCCCCCTCCCTTTTTTTTTCCAGATGATTTTGAGTTTTATTCCACATTGTTCTCCCTCTCTATCCAGGATCTCCTACATAGATCCCCTTCCAAGTGGTTGACATTGGCAGCCAGGCACCATCTAGTTCTTCTGGTCTCATAGTCATATAGGCTGCAGATTGGATGGTGTACCAGCCACTAGGACTGACTGTATCCATGAATCT